CAGGTGCTAGTGGGCTCTTGCTAAGCAGCTAAACCTCAATCACTTGGTAATAAAAGGTTAGGTTTGACTAATTACTTTTAATGTGTTGTAAGATGTATGAAGATGCTACGCAATAAATAAATTTATACCAACAGTTTTTTTTTTCTAGAACACAGTTACACACCTATATGAATAGAGATGTCAAAATCCAGGTCAGTGAGTCTTTCATAGTCTGTTATGGAAAGAACAGTGTTGATCTGAGAAATGAGCTTTAACTGAGAATTGAAATGCCCTGAAATCACCATTATTACCAGTCATGATGAAGTCTTAGTAGGACTTTGCCATTGTCTTATTGTTTTCTGTGGCCTCAGTGATGCTGTAGAGATGTGTGGAAGTGTAACATGTTGCTTTGGCTCAATTCATATGCTGTCCATCAGAGGTCAGTGTGGAGAGGAATTAGCTGCTGTTGTGTTTAATCGCATTGAAGAAAATGAAGCTTCAGCATTAAAGGCCACACAGAAGTGTTACAGTCTCAAGACTTTTCTTTTGGCTGCGAGGAATACGTTTTCTCACTGGTGTAAAGCAGCAGGCCTATTACTGTAACACTCCGGCGTTGAGCAAAAGAGATCGAAAATATTACACTCCAATTTTTTCTAAAAGTGTGCATCATTTTTTGAGACAAATTCTTACATTTAATCAGTCAATTATAATAATAATACATTTAGGCTGATACTAAACAAATGAAATCAGTATCAACAAAATTAATCTTTGCAGAAGTTGCATATGAAGTGGCATTTAGATGCATTTATACATGTTAATGCAGCTTAGAGGGACATGGAGTGCTTTAACCTGCAGTTACAAATGCATAAATAATGTTTTGATATTTAAAACATGAAATCTTGAATACTGATATTTTAAATTATTAAAAAAATGAAAATATACTTTAAATGTGAAATTAAAACCGCCAGTAGGTGGCAGTAAGTCACTGTTAATAAGTAAGTAATTGCTGCTGATCCGAATCATTTAAACAGTTGATTCATTCAGGAACAAAACACCGTCATGTTGCTCAGACACGCAAAACAGTGCTGTGGCTGTATGTAACGAAGGAATATGAGTTGCTTCTTTAAAAGCTTATTGTATTACTGTATTAAAAGCAGTGTATTATGTGAAGTAGAGTATTATGAGAGTGATTAACTCAGTGAGTGTGATTACCTGCACCTGATACAGCATTCATTCTTCAGCATAATCTCATATTCACAATAAAACATTAGTTTGAATGTCCACTGAGGAAAGCGACAGGCTCTTTGTCATACTATTCTTTCATCTGTTAAGGGTGATTTCCATTGACAGCGCTGCTCAGTGCATTTGTTGGTTGCATCTTACAAGCTGTTGTTAAAAGTAAAAATAACTTCCGTCTGAGTTTTTTTCAACATAAAAGTCCTTACTGCAGACTCGTAAAAACAGTCTCTTGTCGCCATCTAAAGGCGGAACAATGAAACTAAAATCACTATCACAAACACACCATTTCTCAATATTAAACACTATTATTAAAAAGTACTAGTACTATTATTTTAAACAATAATATTTAATAAACAACAAATACAGCAACTTCGCTATACATATATATATATATATATATATATATATATATATATATATATATATTTTTTTTTTTTTTTTTTTTTTTTTATATATTTATTTATTTATTTATTTATTTATTTATTTATTTATTTATTTATGTATGTATAAGCTGTCCATTGCTATGGTGCAAAGAGCGCTCCCTTGTAATCACTCATCTTAATTCATCGCGACCTCACAAAGTTACATTATAATCAATGAAGTTCTCAATACTCAATGAATCTCTTATTTGCATCGCATCTACACTTTGTTGTAATGAGATGATTCGTGCTGAACACAACACCCCGTGAGTGGATTCTAACTTAAGAAATCAAGTGTTCAAGAAATCAACAGATATGTCTGTGATTGGCTACATTGCTCAACGCTGCACAAACACATGATCTCCAGAGTGCAAACCATAACGCACTGGATAGTTTGTTAAATTTGCAATTAAATTCTATTATTACAGCTTTAAGAAATGCAGGACATTCCTCTTTTCCAGCATCTGTACAGGTGAGTTTAAGACTCTCGGGGCTTTTGTACAAAAGTTGATGTGTTTTTATTGTTTTTACTCTGTTACTGCATGATTATCAGTCTCATATCTGTTATTATTCTGGTCTGATAATATATCTTGCTCACACATAACAGCTCTGTCTAATGATATTTCTGTTTTCAGTTGCTGCAGGTGCTCCAGTTACAGTCACAGGACACAGAGGACACAGACTTGACATCAGATGTGCATATGAATCTGGATATGAATCAAATCCAAAGTATTTTTGTAAAGGCGAGTGTATCTTTGGAAGCAGAAACATCGTGGTTAAATCAGGATCTCCAGCTGAAGACCAGAGATTCTCTCTGACTGACAACACGACGGCCAGAGTTTTCACCGTCACCATCACTGATCTGAGAACAGAGGATGCAGGACAATACTGGTGTGGAGTGGAGAGGACTTTAACTGATGACTATTCAGAGATTTTGTTGCTGGTTAAACACGGTAAGTGATTAATGTGACTTCTGCAAATGGACCTATGGTAGAAATATACATAGAAAGGGTCAGAAGATGCAGCTCATGTTATTATATAGTAGTCAATTCACTGCATAATCTATAATTATATACACAATATAATTCATAATAAAATATATTAACTGAGATAAAGTTGACATTTCCTGTCCCCTGATAGATAATAAGACCACTGCGATTTCAACCACCAGCCCTTTTACAGCAACACTGTCATATTTCAGCACAACAGAACCACATCCACAATCCAGCAGCATCACAATCACAGAAAGAAAAGAAACAATCACAGATCAGCACAACTCCTCAGCAGGTCAGGTCATCTTCCTCTTTCTCTCTTTATTTTCCTTTAATATGCATTATGTCTGGATGATGTCTGTCATTTAGCGCTGATTTCTTCACCTGTACAGGTACACATCTCTCCACATATCACACACTCATATAGAGTGAACTTATAGAGTCACACTGAACAGGAAGTGACAACATCTCTCTTATTTCATTCATTAGTCTTTCATTTATTCATTCTCTAAACAGTTTCTAAGCTGATTCTGATGATTGTTTCTGTTTATACAGTATTTCAGACAGCGTTTTCCTCCTGTATGTTTCAGGTTCAGTTGTGATTATCGTCACTGCGGAGGCTTTGGTTTTACTCCTGATTGGTCTTTCATTGATTATAGTGTCTGTGCGGAAGAGAAAGAAGACTAAAGGTACCAATTTACATGAAATAAGTCCTTTTCTCTGAGGTTTCAGCATTTAGAACAAAAACAAAACCCTGAAGATTGCATTTGGTTGTGTTTGCGATGACATGCATGAGAAACTAGATTCAATTATAGAGTTTTACAGCATTAATCGCAGAAAGACTAACACCGATCTCTTGCACAGGTCTGCTGTCGTCCTCCATCATAGAGTTTAATCCAGTGTTATATGAACAGGTGAGTATAAAGAAACTGATGTGTATTATCATTTAATGGACAGCAGTAACTGCGTTAAACAAGACTGTGACTGCAGTGATTTTCAGTATTTTGATGTTGAATCTCCAGCAGCTGGTGTGTGAATGATCATATTCATGTGTTATAATATTAAACAGATTCACTCTGGTTGAGTTATTTTGTACATTAACTAACTATTTATAATTTTCTATGACTGTAGATCAAAGATGCTGGACGTCACTGTAATCCAGAGGACACAGACACAGAAACAACTGTAGTTTATAGCTGTGCTTCCTAAACTTGTGCTATATGTGTTCCTACAGACCCAAGTACTCCATCAACACCATAAATTAGTTCATTTCAACTAATATCATATCATAATATATAATATAATATGATGTTTTTCTAGATTGCAAGTGCATGTTTCTCTTTATTTTGTTATATATCTGTTAATGTGTGTGTGCTGTATGTAGCATTTTCTTGTTAGATGTTTGGCTCGAGGTTTGTCTGGTTAGTGTCATCTGTTCACTCCTGCTGGTAGATGCTGGAACTGCACCGGTCTGCTGCTAAAAAGCATCTTTCTCTGTTGATGACCATTCAAGAGTAGCTGTATATTCTGAGAAATCCTTGCAAGCAACAAATAACGGAGGCTCCTTAAAGCAGCTGCCATTGAGATGCTAATACTATCGATTAGCTTTATGAAAATATTACTAGAAGGCCTTTTTGCTTCAGTTAAACATCAGATGTCCGCAGCAGTTACTTACCAAACAGGAAGTTCAACCACAGCCACAGGAAGAGCTGTGAGGCTTCAGCTAAACACACGCTACACTTCCCACAATGCAACTCTTCTCCCAGTGCTGATGTGATGCAGAAAGTGTGACTTTAATGTTCAAGCAATACTCTGGATTATTTACAGTCTTTGTAACCTACAGCATCAAGGAAATTTTTTTTATATATTTATTTATTTATTTATTTATTTATTTATTTATTTATTTATTTATGTATGTATAAGCTGTCCATTGCTATGGTGCAAAGAGCGCTCCCTTGTAATCACTCATCTTAATTCATCGCGACCTCACAAAGTTACATTATAATCAATGAAGTTCTCAATACTCAATGAATCTCTTATTTGCATCGCATCTACACTTTGTTGTAATGAGATGATTCGTGCTGAACACAACACCCCGTGAGTGGATTCTAACTTAAGAAATCAAGTGTTCAAGAAATCAACAGATATGTCTGTGATTGGCTACATTGCTCAACGCTGCACAAACACATGATCTCCAGAGTGCAAACCATAACGCACTGGATAGTTTGTTAAATTTGCAATTAAATTCTATTATTACAGCTTTAAGAAATGCAGGACATTCCTCTTTTCCAGCATCTGTACAGGTGAGTTTAAGACTCTCGGGGCTTTTGTACAAAAGTTGATGTGTTTTTATTGTTTTTACTCTGTTACTGCATGATTATCAGTCTCATATCTGTTATTATTCTGGTCTGATAATATATCTTGCTCACACATAACAGCTCTGTCTAATGATATTTCTGTTTTCAGTTGCTGCAGGTGCTCCAGTTACAGTCACAGGACACAGAGGACACAGACTTGACATCAGATGTGCATATGAATCTGGATATGAATCAAATCCAAAGTATTTTTGTAAAGGCGAGTGTATCTTTGGAAGCAGAAACATCGTGGTTAAATCAGGATCTCCAGCTGAAGACCAGAGATTCTCTCTGACTGACAACACGACGGCCAGAGTTTTCACCGTCACCATCACTGATCTGAGAACAGAGGATGCAGGACAATACTGGTGTGGAGTGGAGAGGACTTTAACTGATGACTATTCAGAGATTTTGTTGCTGGTTAAACACGGTAAGTGATTAATGTGACTTCTGCAAATGGACCTATGGTAGAAATATACATAGAAAGGGTCAGAAGATGCAGCTCATGTTATTATATAGTAGTCAATTCACTGCATAATCTATAATTATATACACAATATAATTCATAATAAAATATATTAACTGAGATAAAGTTGACATTTCCTGTCCCCTGATAGATAATAAGACCACTGCGATTTCAACCACCAGCCCTTTTACAGCAACACTGTCATATTTCAGCAAAACAGAACCACATCCACAATCCAGCAGCATCACAATCACAGAAAGAAAAGAAACAATCACAGATCAGCACAACTCCTCAGCAGGTCAGGTCATCTTCCTCTTTCTCTCTTTATTTTCCTTTAATATGCATTATGTCTGGATGATGTCTGTCATTTAGCGCAGATTTCTTCACCTGTACAGGTACACGTCTCTCCACATATCACACACTCATATAGAGTGAACTTATAGAATCACACTGAACAGGAAGTGACAACATCTCTCTTATTTCATTCATTAGTCTTTCATTTATTCATTCTCTAAACAGTTTCTAAGCTGATTCTGATGATTGTTTCTGTTTATACAGTATTTCAGACAGCGTTTTCCTCCTGTATGTTTCAGGTTCAGTTGTGATTATCGTCACTGCGGAGGCTTTGGTTTTACTCCTGATTGGTCTTTCATTGATTATAGTGTCTGTGCGGAAGAGAAAGAAGACTAAAGGTAATAATTTACATGAAATAAGTCCTTTTCTCTGAGGTTTCAGCATTTAGAGCAAAAACAAAACCCTGAAGATTGCATTTGGTTGTGTTTGCAAGGACATGCATGAGAAACTAGATTCAATTATAGAGTTTTACAGCATTAATCGCAGAAAGACTAACACCGATCTCTTGCACAGGTCTGCTGTCGTCCTCCATCATAGAGTTTAATCCAGTGTTATATGAACAGGTGAGTATAAAGAAACTGATGTGTATTATCATTTAATGGACAGCAGTAACTGCGTTAAACAAGACTGTGACTGCAGTGATTTTCAGTATTTTGACGTTGAATCTCCAGCAGCTGGTGTGTGAATGATCATATTCATGTGTTATAATATTAAACAGATTCACTCTGGTTGAGTTATTTTGTCCATTAACTAACTATTTATTATTTTCTATGACTGTAGATCAAAGACGCTGGACGTCACTGTAATCCAGAGGACACAGACACAGAAACAACTGTAGTTTATAGCTGTGCTTCCTAAACTTGTGCCATATGTGTTCCTACAGACCCAAGTACTCCATCAACACCATAAATTAGTTCATTTCAACTAATATCATATCATAATATATAATATAATATGATGTTTTTCTAGATTGCAAGTGCATGTTTCTCTTTATTTTTGTTATATATCTGTTAATGTGTGTGTGCTGTATGTAGCATTTTCTTGTTAGATGTTTGGCTCGAGGTTTGTCTGGTTAGTTTCATCTGTTCACTCCTGCTGGTAGATGCTGGAACTGCACCGGTCTGCTGCTAAAAAGCATCTTCCTCCACTGATGACCATTCAAGAGTAGCTGTATATTCTGAGAAATCCTTGCGAGCAACAAATAATAGAGGCTCCTAAAAGCAGCTGCCATTGAGATGCTAATACTATCGGTTAGCTTTATGAAAATATTACTAGAAGGCCTTTTTGCTTCAGTTAAACATCAGATGTCCGCAGCAGTTACTTACCAAACAGGAGGTTCAACCACAGCCACAGGAAGAGCTGTGAGGCTTCAGCTAAACACACGCTACACTTCCCACAATGCAACTCTTCTCCCAGTGCTGATGTGATGCAGAAAGTGTGACTGTAATGTTCAAGCAATACTCTGGATTATTTACAGTCTTTGTAACCTACAGTATCAAGGAAAGACCAGAGGAAAGACAAATCAAAAGGGAGATCTCTTTAACATCTCAAATATTTCTCCTAGACGGAAATGAGGTTAAGATGGAGATTTTTGCTTGAGTCTCCTGCTTCTCAAACCTGTCTCCTGAGACAAAAACTCAAACACTCTCACATGTGTCTCCTTTAAAGTTTCAGAAGAGACCTCATCATCATCACACACTGTGCTCAGATATTTCTCCTAAACTAAAGACTCTGGAGCTCTCACATTTGTGTCCTTTGTCTCATTTGTCTCTCAACAACTTTACAAAGTGTGCACCAAGTCAAATGTCTCAATATGAGCGCAATCATTTCTACCATATAATATATATTAATAATAAAATTAGTCAATTAATAATCAAGACAGAGTAATAAGCCATTTATTTGCTGTTCAGTGAAAAAATCAACAAGGTTACTTTTTTCTGTAAATCGGTTGTGATAAAGGCATTGGGTACATTACTATTACTAAATCTGAGCACATGTGTGATGTTGTTGAGATCTTGTTTGAAACATTGGAGAGACAAATGTGAGAGCTCCAGAGTCTTTAGTTTAAGAGACAAGTCTGAGCACAGTGTGTGATGATGATGAGGTCTCTTCTGAAACTTTAAAGGAGACACATGTGAGAGTGTTAGAGTTTTTGTCCCAGGAGACAGGTTTGAGAAGCAGGAGACTCAAGCAAAAATCTCCATCTTGACCTCATGTCTGTCTAGCAGAAACATTTGGGATGTTAAAGAGATCACTTCTTTTATTTAATTTTTTCTTCCCTCTGGTTAGCTTTAATGTCATTTATCAACACCATTTCAATCAAACACAATACATGCATTGTCATATTTGAAGTTGTTTTGTGTAGACAGTGTTTTATTGCACAATAATTTAACAGAGGAAAGCATTACCTATATTTACATGCATGCAAAAATGAGCTGCACAAGATAAACTTTTTAATGCTAAAAAAAAAACAAAAAACACTGGTACACTAGCAGGCCCGGCTCCACAATCAGATCACTGAGGGTGCTTCTTAAATTAGTGAGGGTGCTCTCTCTAACACCAGGCATGCATCAAAAGGATGATTTTTACTTCCTGTTAAAAAACTAATGCAAAGCAACAGACTGTAAAAGGTAAGAGGCTGTAAGAGAGATTTCATATAGAGGAATGAAAATATGGAATTATTTGCCATCAGATATTACATATTTTTTAACAAGACCATTACATTGGTAGTGGCTAATGGGGGTCCAAATAAACAAAACAAATAACTAATTCCAGGCTGCAACACATTAAAAACATAAATGCATTAACAACATATATGAGGTCAACATAAACAGGTTTCCAGAAATAGCAACATCATTTGAGCATACTTTACTTTAAATTGTTTTATTATTAGAAGGTCTTCTTTCTGGCCTTAGAAGAGAAGAATCATCAAGGCTGCACTTGGGCTCAAATTCAGCCCATCCGGCAACACAATCCTCCATAAATATATAGCTGGGGTTCGGGCAATAGGAATAAATGAATAATTTAACAATAATGTTATTGAATTATATTGCAGGCTCTTAATTATTGAATTAATAATTTACTTTAATTAAAATGTATTAAAACTATTAACACCTCCTAAGTAGCCCTAATGGAACGCTACTCTAATTTTTGAATCCAGAGTATTACTAAGTATAGCATTTAGTATCTTACCATTACAAAGATCTTGAATCAGGCAAAACCCATACTCCTTGACATGGCTTTATTGCTTCTTTAACAACAACGGTAAAAAATAAATAAATTATATAAGTAGCCTTTAATAATGTTGTCATTAATAACAAATACCATGAAGCCATATTTCCATAGTGTAAGTGACTGGTTAGAGTGGTGCAGTGTGGACTGAAATGCTTGTATTTACCGTTTTGTACAGTTGACCTTGACACATCAGTTTACATAGTTGTAGCTATTCAATATGGTTTCAGCTAGTTTCACCACAGAGACTTTACTGTTCACATATAATGCTGTAAGTGTTGTGTGTTGAAGTTAAATGGATCAAGCATTAGTTATCACTTCAACAGAGCAGCGAAAGTGTCGGGCTAACTCCCGCTGTGCAGAGACACCTGTCCGGTCCGGCTGCTCTCACGTGCTGCGCGGTTCAATCAGGTAGCACTGTTTCATCACTTACATTTTCGTGTTTTCATCTTATGCAGTCCAGTAAAGTATGTTAAATTGATTAATGAGGCCCATTTATCAATTTAACATAAAAAAGAGTGTTAGATCCGAGCACACAAATCAACTTACAATAGGGTTCATATGTGATTAATGAAACATTCGTATGCCACCAATCCCATCGTACAAATAATCGTTTGTTGATAAATGTGGTGGCTGAAAACAATTGTCATTTAAATATCATGCCCCTAAAAACAGCCAGGCCTGGCTCCAAAATCAAATCGCTGAGGGTGCTTCTTAAATTAGTGAGGCTGCTCTAACCTTAAAATGTTTATAAGTTTATAAGCTGTCCATTGCTATGGTGCAAAGAGCACTCCCTTATAATCACTCATCTTAATTAATCGCGAAGTTACATTATTATATATATACTGTTTATAAGCTGTCCATTGCTATGGTGCAAAGAGCACTCCCTTATAATCACTCATCTTAATTAATCGCGACCTCAAAAAGTTACATTATAATCAATGAAGTACTCAATGCTGCACGATGAATCTCTTATTTACATCACGTCTACACTTTGTTGTAATGAGATGATTCGTGCTGAACACAACACCCGGTGAGTGGATTCTAACAAACGCCTCTGACTGGCTGTTGTGTTCAAGAAATCAACAGATTGGTCTGTGATTGGCTACATTGCTCAACGCTGCACCTACTAATATAATATATTTTTTTCTAGAGCGCAAGTGCATGTTTCTGTTTATTTTCTTGTATATCTGTTAATGTGTGCTATATGTAGCATTTTCTTGTTAGATGTTTGGCTCAAGGTTTGTCTGGTTAGTTTCATCTGTTTACTCCTGCTGGTAGATGCTGGAACTGCACCGGTCTGCTGCTAAAGAGCATCTTTCTCCATTGATGACCATTCAAGAGTAGCTGTATATTCTGAGAAATTATTGCAAGCAACATATAAGGCCAAACATTTCATTCTGTTGTACTAGATGTGGTACCAGCAACATATTTAACTGTAAAACACCTCTGATTTTGTTCAAGAAGAGTCAGTTTATCACAGTATTGATAAAACGACTGATTGAAAGAATTAATCATCATCAACAGAAGATCTAAACCCTTAATTTGCTTTAGACTTTTGTTGCATGCTAATGTAGCATATGCTTAAAAAAACTCGGAATGGTAGTCCTAGACAGCAGACAAGACCAATATAAGGTCGCTTAAAACCTTAAAACCTCCAAAAGTTGGTAAAACATCTGTAATACAATATAATTAAATATTTACAATTTAAATGTTGCAAATGGAGAAAAAAAATTCAGTCAACATGGTTTGAAGGGCTGTGAATGAAGAAAAAATGCTCTGTGCAGCCAGATGGTGTAGTAGTTACAACATCTACCCAATGCATAAGCAAATAAGCGGCTGCTTGAGGGCCCCGAGGCCACCAGGGGGCCCAAAAAATGTACATTGAATTACAACTTTTTTTTGTGTGTGAAATATTATGCCAATGGAGCATGGTAATTATGCAAAAGGTAGGGTTGTTTTAGGGAAGTTCATGTTTGATTAGACATCCTTAAATAGCCTTGACATCTTTACATCTTATAATATAACATTTTACTC